GATGATTTGCTTGTCCTTATTGTGCCTGGAAATCATTTTCAGGATTAGTTGGTTCATCACCTTTCCAGGGATTGAGGTGAGGTTGAGCAGCCTGTAGTTCCCAGGGTCCTCCCAGGGAGGAGAATTTATGGCCTTTGGAACAAAGGGCAGGCCACTCATGAGGACTACAAAGATGTTGTGAGGCTATGTAGGGAGGAAATTAGAAGGGCCAAAGCCCAACTAGAACGTAATCTGGCTTCTGATGTTAAGGACAACAAAAAAAGTTTCTATAAATACATCAGCAATAAAAGAAGGACTGAAAAGAAGATCATCCTTTATTAGATGAAGGTGGAAATAGAGTGACAAAGGATGAGGAAAAGGCTGAGGTACTTAATGCCTTCTACGCCTCAGTCTTTAGTAGTAGGACCAGTTGTTCCCTGAGTACCCAGCCCCCCGAGACAGTAGACAGGAGTGGGGAGCAGAACGAAGTCCCCATAATCCATGGGAAAATGGTGAGGGACCTGCTACAGCACTTAGAGACATACTAGTCTATGGGGCCAGGTGGGATCCACCCGAAAATACTGAGGGAGCTAGCAGAAGTACTCACCAAGACACTTTCAGTCATTTATCAGCACTCACAGAATCACAGAATGGTCAGGGTTGGAAGGGACCTCTGGAGATCATCTAGTCCAACCCCCCCCGCCAGAGCAGGGTCACCTACAACAGGTTGTACAGGACAGCATCCAGGCAAGTTTTGAATGTCTCCAGAGTGGGAGACCTGGCTAACCACGAAGTCCTAGTTGACTGGAGGTTAGCAAATGTGATGCCCATCTACAAGAAGGGCTGGAAGGAGGATCTGGGGAACTACAGGCCTGTCAGTCTGACCTCAGTGCCTGGGAAATTTATGGAACAGATCATCCTGAGTGACATTAACCAGCACATGTAGGACAACCAGGTGATCAGGCCCAGTCAGCATGGGCTTATGAAAGGCAGGTCCTGCTTGACAAACCTGACCTCCTTCTACAACAAGGTGACCCACTCAGTGGATGAGGGAAAGGCTGTGGATGTCATCTACCTAGATTTTAGTAAAGCCTTTGACACTATTTCCCACAGCATCCTCCTAGAGAAACTGGCTGCTCATGGCTTGGACAGGTGTACTCTTCGCTGGGTAAAAATCTGGCTGGAAGGCCGGGCCCAAAGAGTGGTGCTGAATGGAGTTAAATCCAGTTGGTGCCTGGTCACAACTGGTGTTCCCCAGGGCTCAGTATTGGGGCCGGTTCTATTTAATATCTTTATCAATGACCCGGACGAGGGCATCAAGTGCACCCTCAGTAAGTTTGCAGATGACACTAAGTTGAGCGGAATGTTGATATGCTTGAAGGCAGGAAGGCTCTACAGAGGGATCTGGACAGGCTGGATTGATGGACCAAAGCCAGTGGTATCAGGTTCAACAAGGCCAAGTGCCGGGTCCTGCACTTGCATCACAACAACCCCATGCAGCGCTACAGGCTTGGGGAAGAATGGCTGGAAAGCTGCCTGGCAGAAGAGGACCTGGGGGTGTTGGTTGACAGCCACCTGCATATGAGCCAGCAGTGTGCCCAGGTGGCCAAGAAGACCAATAGCATACTGTCTTCTATCAGAAATAGTGTGGTGAGCAGGACTAGGGAAGTGATTGTCCCCCTGTACTCAGCACTGGTGAGGCTCCCCCTCAAGTACTGTCTTCAGTTTTGGGCCCCTCAGTACAAGAAGGACATAGAGATTCTGCAGTGTGTCCAGAAAAGGGCAATGAAGCTGGCAAGGTGTCCAGAGCACAAGTCTGATGAAGAGCAGTTGAGGGAACTGGGGTTGTTTAGCCTGGATAAAAGGAGGCTGAGGGGAGACTTTATCGCTCTCTACAACTACCTGAAAGGACGTTGCAGAGAGTGAGGGTCGGTCTCTTCTCCCAAGTAACAAGCAATAGGACAAGAGGAAATAGCCTCAAGTTTCGTCAGTGGAGGTTTAGATTGGGTATTATGAAAAATTCCTTCAACGAAAGCGTTATTAAACATTAGAACAGGCTGCCCAGGGTAATAGTGGAATCGCCTTCCCCGGAGGTATTCAAACGATGGGTAGATGTGGTGCTCAGGGACACGGTTTAGTGGTGGTTTTGGCAGTGTGGGGTTGATGGTTGGACTTGATGATCTTAAAGGTCCCTTCCAACCTAGATGATTCTACTCTTTTGATTTTTTTTCTTCCTGGCAGTTCTGTGCTTGTGCTGAATTCCCACACTTTGACATTTGTGACTTTTGTAGATTTAAAAAAAAAAAATTCAGCTGAATTATCTGCACTAAGGGACTTCTGAATGCTGTTAAACTTCATGTAAAGGAAAAGCATGGGCTCAAACATTTATGCTCTTTTTCAAAGAAAGGTTAAAGAAAATAACTATACAAAACCACCATGAACATTCTGAAGTTTTGTTTCTCTAACATACCTTTAACGTTTAAAATTATTAAGTGTAATCCAGATGCTCCTATTATCTTCAAATATTGTTTTCATTGTTACCGCAGCTGAGGCTACTTACTGCTGAATAAATAAAGATATCTACAACACAGCATCACTGCTGGTTTTTTTTTGTTGGTTTTTTTCTTATGTTTTTGTCTATTTTAATTTTTATCACCTTGTGACTTTTCTGAAATAGAGCCAAATAAACTCAGAGCTTTGGGAAAGCTGTCTCTCTGGATATTACTATTAGGCTTCTCACATGAAATAATAATTTAATTTGTCATTAACACAGCTGACATTCAGTTTCCTTACCTCTCCTTCAGATACAACACCAGTTATGACCTAGTTTTATATAAATACTCAATACTTTCTGCTCTTTTACTTTCAGAATTATGGAACAGCTTACAGCCACACCTCCATCCAACTGAAAAGCATGCATTACACACCTCATTCTGTTTCACCAAAAACCCACCACACAACGTTACAGAAACACACCCTGATTTTTTGTTCCCTAGACACATAGTTAAGCAAGGAAGAATAATTTGATATGAAAGCAACATTAAGCTGTGATTTAAGCTTTTTTTTCAACTCCTCTCTTACCCTCTCCAAAACTTTGGGCTGCTTCCCAATATTTGCTCCCAATTGAATATTAACATGTTGAAAATTCATAGCTACTTGACTCCAAGGAGAGATTTACAGCCTTGTTGCTCAGATTCTTCAACATTTGGAACGTATCATAAATACAAGGTCTAGTCACACAAGTACCAAACATGTTGATACAACAGCCATCTGCATGAACATGATGACAGAATCATAGAATGGTTTAGGTTGGAAAGGACCTTGAAGATCATTGAGTTCTAACCCCCCTGCCATAGACAGGGACACCTCCCACTAGAACAGGCTGCGCAAGGCCACATCCAGCCTGGCCTTGAACACCCCCAGCGATGGGGCCTCAACAACCTGTCTGGGCAACTTGTTCCAGTGCCTCACCACCCTTAAAGTAAAAAACTTCTTCCTAATGTTTACTCTAAACCTGCCCTCTTCCAGTTTATAGCCATTCCCCCTGGTCCTATCACTACATGCCCTAGTAAAAAGTCCTTGCCCAGCTCTCCTGTAGGCCCCTGTTAGGTACTGGAAGGCAGCAATAAGATCTCCCTGGAGCCTTCTCTTCTCCAGGCTGAACAGCGCCAACTCTCTCAGCCTCTCCTCATAGGAGAGGTGCTCCAGCCCTTGGATCATCCACGTGGCTCTCCTCTGGACACACTCCAGCAGGTCCATGTCCTTATGTTGGGGACTCCAGAGCTGGATGCGGTACTCCAGGTGCGGTCTCACGATAGTGGAGTAGAGGGGCAGAACCACCTCCTTTGACCTGCTGGCCACATTTTTTTTTGATGTACATGTACATGTATCATGTACATTTGGTGTATCTTTTCTGAACATCTAAGTTTCCAAATGAAGTTGATGCACATACACAGAATGTCAACAAAACTTGCAACAGGGAAAAAAAAATACAACAAAAAACCCCACCAAAACCCAAAACCAGTTTGCTTAACACTGTTTATAGTATGCCACATTGCATCAAACTTATTTCACTTTGTATTCCCAGGCAACGCAAATACTGTGGATGAGAACTTGAAGTATGAAAGGCTGAAGAATCTTAGCTACTCATTCCGTATGTATTTGTGTAACCCTTTTTCCCTCAATAATCCTGCTGAGAAAACAGTCATCACAGTCTAATCCACCTAAAGTTATTCCTTAAATATCAGTATGTAATGCATTTTTCTGCAGTAATAAAACTCCAAAACTTCAGAACTTAAGTTCCACTCAGGATAGACAAGAAATGAGAAACATATTTTATGGAAAAAGGCAATCTAATTTAAAATAAAAGCAAAGACATTATTTTAACTAAGTCTCAATCTATCTTTCAAATATTCTCCCTACAGATTTCTATTTCAGAATCAGGTTGGGAAAGTTATATATAAGAGAAAAACTAAACACCTCTATTATTTGAAAAAGATTGGTCAAACTGATCGGTTTTAAATCAGAAAACAAGAATTATGATCTCAGAGATTTAGAATGCAGGAGGAAAGAGATGGCTTAGGAAAAATATATGCCCTCTTTAGAGAGAAGTATCTTTAATGTTTAGACACTTAAGAGGTAAATCAGCCATGAATGTATGAAAAATAAACTGATCTATGTTTAAATAACTGTTTCAAAACTTTGAGTACTGAAGTTAAGATTGCAGATTTATGCAGAGAGCGGAAAATCATTACATTTTCCTATTCCTTTACAGTACCATGTAGTAAATCAGAGCAATCTGCATTACAAATATTACACACAGTAGGGGGAAATTATGCTTTCCAACAATCTCTTGCTTCAACAGCATAAACCTCTTTGAAAACAGAGGTTGTTGATTTTTTTAATGTTCATATTAAATCTTAATCTAAGTACATATCATGTTAAAAAAAAATAAATATCCAAATATAGCCCAAACAGAATATTCCTAACTTTTCATTTAATTTGTTCCCTCCCTTTCTTACCTTCTCTGGAGGTGCAGGAGGTTGAAATCTCTTTGCACAGACTAGAAATGCATCAGGCTGTGGCTTGCCACACTTCACCTCGGGGTCATCTCCCAACACAATATGATGAAAAAGACCAAAGAAGTCTTTGTGTCTGGCTGTTTTCATCTGAAATGTCACTTCAGCTGAGCTGGTGGCAACAGCTATGGGTATGTTGTGTTTGTGTAAATGACGTATCAGCTTATCAACCCCTGCAAGAAAAATGTATAAATTTTATTTTATATATATATACGCATATATGTAGGTATATGTATTAATATCTATACCTACTTACAATGTATTTAGCAATACTTCAACAATGTTGTCTTACTGAATATAACAACCTATTTCAACCAGTTAGCATGGAAGAAAATTCTTGCGATGTCTGAAACATTCCTTCTCCACACAAAAATCATGGAACATTCCTCAAGTTATATACTTATTCTGTCATCAAACGATGCTTTTCTCAAAATATGCCAAAAATGGCTTCAACATCATTGCGAAGTACATCCACCAGAAGCTTATTAAGTAATGTCTCCAACATTATGTATGTTTATTATTTCCAACTCTCTGTAAGTGAGATAAAAGCACACAGGGAACATTTTCTTTTTTACACAGTTATGCTCCTGAAAATAAAATAATAATTAAAAAAAAAATCAAAGTCAAAGAAATATACTCTTCTCACTGAACAGTATAGTTTTAATTTCTGAAGCATGTATCCAACTGGCTTAAACCAGCCCCTAAGAGAGCTCAGTTTCTCTCTTTTGCAATTACTGAAGCAAGTAACACTGGGCAGAGGAGGGGAGCTGTCAGTCACAGTTGTTAATACCAGAGCTTTATCTATTGATGCTGTGAACCCAGAGTAATGAACACCTCAAGCCTAATGGGTAGAAACTTCAATCTGATCCAGTCTTCTAGGGAAGGTTAATGCAGGGAACAGTGAAAACACAGCAGTCTGTGTAAGAGGGAAACATACTGCATTATTCAGTGTACGTTTTGAGTTTCCTTTGAAGAGGTTTCAATGCTCCTTTGCTGCAGCATCCTACATGCTGGATGCCCCTCTCAGACAAAACAATTAGCAGTGCCTAATGGAGAACAGAGTGGAGGTCCAATCTTTACCAATTCACAAGATAAAATCCCTCCGTATCTGTAAAATCATTTCAGCTCTGCTTCTCGGCGTGAATCTAAACTGTGCGGGACAAAGGATATTAGTTTCAGGTAGATAAGCCTCCAGTTGACTTCTGGCTCTTTGAACCAACTTGAGAACAATTCTTTGCTTTCATCTTCCAACTGCATGAATTCCTACCCTACTTTTCATGTCTGGCTATACTAATGTAATCTTATTCTCTTCCTCTTGATTCACTGTCATACTTACGTCTGGTCCCTGCTCTCTCAAAACATTCCTACTCCTCATACACATTTAATTCTTTCCTTTGCCACCCCAGCATCTCCAATTTGCATTTCCCATGTGATCCAGCCTTTCTGCTCCATTTCTCCATTTTCACAATTCTATTAACAACAATCTTATCTGCAATACATTTTTCCTAAGTATAGTCATATGCCAACTTTGAGAAGTTATAATTACTACTGCTAATAAAGCGTGCAGATTAGTAAATAGGTGCATTAGATGGCCCATCTATCTGAAAATACAACCCGTAGATGTGGCTCTCCACAGATTTCTGCTCTATTCTCCATAATCAAATCAACCAATTAATAACTCACATTTCCAGATCCAGCCTTTTAATACATGTACTTCTGCGAAGTTAGATTCCAGCTGGACAGAAATAACAACAGAGTTATTCCTCCTCTAATGTCAACGCATCACCCATTTAAAAGCCTTCCTATGCTCCCTTAAATGGCTATATTAATAATAAGCAAGTGCACTTTTTCCCAAATGATGCTACTCTGTCCTCTCACTGAAATATGATGCTAAATACAAGTTAACTTTTTATTCCAGATACAGATTATAACTTCATTCTGAAACATGTGAAGAACGTCCATATTGAATTAACAGAAGTACTAAGATATCTTAGTACTCTTAGACCATAGAACCATAGAATGGTTTAGGTTGGAAAGACCCTTGAAGACCATCGAGTTCCACCCCCCCTGCCATGGGCAGGGACACCTCCCCCTCGACCAAGTTGCCCAAGGCCACATCCAGCCTGGCCTTGAACACCCCCAGGGATGGGGCCTCAACAACCCCTCTGGGCAACCTGCTCCACTGCCTCACCGCCCTTAAAGTGAAAAACTTCTTCCTAATGTTTACTCTAAACCTGCCTTCTCCCAGTTTATAGCCATTCCCCCTCATCCTATCACTCAAGCCCTAGTAAAAAGGCCTTCCCCAGCTCTCCTGCAGGCCCCCTTTAGGTACTGGAAGGCAGCAATAAGATCTCCCTGGAGCCTTCTCTTCTCCAGGCTGAACAGCCCCAGGTGTCTCAGCCTCTCCTCATAGGAGAGGTGCTCCAGCCCTCTGATCATCCTTGTGGCCCTCCTGTCGACACGCTCCAGCAGGTCCATGTCTTTCTTATGTTGGGGACTCCAGGCCTGGATGCAGTACTCCAGGTGGGGTCTCACAAGAGTGGAGTAGAGGGACAGAATCACCTCCTTTGACCTGATCGGTAGACTAAATGCCTCTCTTAAAAAAATAAAATGCATTCATTCAAAGGAATTTATTCTAAATAATCTGCAACGTTTAGCTAGGCTAGCATACCACGTATATAGTAACATAAAGAAGTCTAACGATTACATAAGTAAGAAGACTTTTCCTATCGCCTATGCCCTTGCTATGACATAATTAGTTTTCTCTAAAGTTGTGCTCTTTTCAAATAGCTAATTTTCTACAGTCCCACTGTATCACAACTTCAGTTCATCTGTCACAGGGTATGTCTATTCTACATTACTGTTGGAGGTAGCCAGTAACAGAAAAGTACTGTTGCAGAAAGGATATTTTTCCAGGGTTCTCTCTTATATTCTCCGAGCATGTCATGATTTCAGTGTGTAGATCTGTGCGTGTGTTTACTTTTCCTTTTTGTCTTCCCTTACTACAAGGGAGCTAAAATGCAGCTGTCCCTAATACCTCCAGGGAGCAAAGATTTGAATTATTCAGAAAACACACTTTAATAAAAATATGCTATTTAAAAACGATTATTTGCATATATATAAACATAGCAAGATAAATTAGAAAAAAAAAATACAAGGGGAAAATCAGATGGGTGGAAAAAAATTAAATTGCATATGGAAGAATAGCTAGCATAACAAGCTCCAGACAGTATTTTAATTCCAAGTTTGTTATTTCTTTGTAAAAGCTATAGATCAACAAGATCCTTTTGTTTGCCTCAATTACCACCAGTATAGCTCTAGACACTTTGCCACCACATCAAATTACTAACACAATTATTGTACTAATTCAGCATATAATTCTTCATTAGGGAGATAATACCTTTCTGAGTATCTTTCCTGTGCTTCTTTTTACAGAAAACATCAACAGAAGGGGAAGTGGGGAACTGCTTTAAAGATCTGTAAGAAACTTGCCCTGGCATATACTTTGTTATTATACACCCTATAGCTACACAGATTTTTTTCAATCAAATGAAGACTTCAGTTACATCAAAAACAACCAATTAAAAACTCAATGGACATGAACAAGTATGGTGAGTCCTGTGAACTCACTAACTTCTAGTTCTAGCTTACTTGTAGCTACCATGGAAGGGTTAGAGGCCCATTCATCACAGGCAGATCTATCTGCTGGGCTTCCTGGGACCATCCTCCACCCCTCCTACTGAAAGCTTAGCCACATGCAGCAAGCTGGGGTTGTTGTTTTTTTTCTTTTTCTTTTTTTTTTCTTTTTCCTTTTAGTATCTTTGATTAAAAACAAAAAATAAAGAAAGATCAAAGGAAATAAGGATCTCTGTTTTTCCAGCATAAGGGTATGCTCTTAATGTGGTACACATGCAAAAACAATCTTAGGCAGTACAACATAAATTCTTCAAGTAATCATCAAAAAAGTTAGGAATAAATATCCCACATTGCTATGCTTTATTTCCAAATGTACTCTTTCATTTCAAATACTCAAAAAGGTAAATACTGTTTCTTTCCTCTTTAAATATTGTTTTAGAAGAGAGACAGAAGCTTACTATATTCCAAATGTAATAGTTAAATACTGGTAAGTACTGGAAAGAAAAATAGGTGAAAAGCATTGTAAGCTGAGTTTAGTTACAGAAGCTGAAAAGAAGGATCAACTTTAAATGTCAGCATCTCTAAAACCTGATTAATCACAAATGTCAATGAAGTTAACAACTTTGTGAAAAGAAAAAGAAAACAAACTAAACCAACAGAAAGGAGTCATTTTTTCTGAGACCACAGACACATTTTAAAGGAAGAGATCATCACTTTTGTTCTGAAAGTTGCAGGAAAAAATGTGTATTTTTTATATATATATATATTTTTTTTTTTTAAGGAAGTAGTATTCCTCTATTGCACTCCAAATGTGGTGTTTGTTCTCTTTAGATTCAGCTGGAACCACAGTGACTAATATATTGGATCAACTGACAAACTAAAATTAAGATTTATAGCAAACAACAAAACCCTTGGGCTAACTTGCATTTTCCTTTTCATTGACTAATACGACCACGTACAGCAACAGTTCAGGAAACCAAATAATGCTACGCTAAAATGATCTAATGATAGTCCCTATCTAATTACTTATATGCTATTATAACATTGTTTTCGACATGATTTTTTTTTCAGTTATCACATTTTATAATCAAATGTCATTCTTCATTATGAAGTGAGAATTAAAAAGACGTAACTCCTGAGAGCTAATTCAAATTTATGGAAAACAAAGGGAATTTTTATTTTCTCTTTTGCCCTGTACACTGAAATTTTTCTTGGAAGAACTATACTGATCACCAAGTGCTTTCTTCACATAGCTTGCCCACAAATTATGAACACAAATACAACTTCACACTCTTTTTGCAGCCTTTCAGCACTCCCTCTATGAAGATCTTCGTATACATCTGTCACAGTGTTGCTCCTCATTCACCACCGTGTAGATACAGTTAGGTTTCTACTCACTCTAACAGCATGAGAACAGAGAACACCTGACCTCTGGGGCACCAAAATCAAGGCTCTTTAGAGACCCATATTCAAGTCCACTTCATTTTGCTGTAGTGTTACACAAAACAACCCGTCTGAGAGCCTTCAGTGTGTTTTTGGAAGAAAAGATTTACCACTGAGAAAAAGACTAAAGGAAACCAAAGTGCTTCATGCATTGTTTAAATTAACTGCATACATACCTTATGCATGTCTTGTATGATTTATGTCCAGTTGTGCACAAACAGAAAACTTAAGGATAAATACAGCCTCTATATGAAAGGACAGCTCCTCCTTTTCAAAATCATTTACAGTTCCTACAGTGAATGTGGTATCAGACCAAACTTAAAGTTCTTCAAGATTTCATCACTCTCTTTAATCAAAGAAAAGCTAACATGACCACTCAAAGCTTTGTCAAGTTGATTAGATTTCTAGCCAATTGGATGATAATTCTTTAAGTTCACAGCAGTGATTCTACGGTAAAAGCCTCAGCAGCCTCTGAACTAAAAGGTGGGGTCTCATGAGAGTGGAATGGAAGGGCAAAGAAAAAAACACAACAATCTCACATAGAACGAGAAGCAGCTGGCTGTTCACTTAAGTCACAAACTGATTAAAAAATATTTTTTATGTAGTTTGGTGTGCTACAACAGTTGCAAGCCCATCAGCACAGTGCTAATCATTATCTACACTTTCTCTCAAGCCTGAAGTGAAGTCAGCATTGTTGCTGTGAAGGTGACAGTGTGACAAAGGTGGGGCTATCCGCCACTTGGTGTAATTGCCATGAATCTGATGAGACTACGGAAATGTAGCTCTGAGATCCACCTCTTTCTTTTTTGTTAGGAGATATTAAAAATGCTATCTGCAATGGTATTCTGTCCTTTTACTGAGCTACAAAAGTGGAGGTGGAAACTAATAACCTACTTCCCAATTTGGAAGGTGTCCTGGTTTCAGCCGGGAAAGTTTCAGCTAGGAAAGAGTTAATTTTCTTTCTAGTAATTGCTGTGAAAGGAATGTCAACAATACACATTGTTTTAATTGTTGCAAGGTAATTGACTATTAATAAAGAATTCTACCTTCTCATCTTATTGCTCTCTAAAAAGTACGAGATCCTTCTGGTGGCAGACTCCCTCTTCACTAAATCGATAATTTCATTTTTATCTGGACATACTGACACATGCAAGGTCATGGAAGAAGTATAAGTACTAAATTTTACACAATTCAGAACCTCTGTCAACTGTGTTGCTGACTTCCTGGTAAAAGCATTTTTGGATTGCAATCCTTTAGGACTTAATGCAAAGGCCAAATATGTGAAATCAGCCAAAAAGACAGCATCATCCCAAGTCTGCAGCTAACTGACTGATCTCTAGGGGTTACAGGCTCACTGAGCCCAGCATGGACTCACTGGAGTTTCCTACCATTAAAACAATAATAGCAAGGAAAAGAAAAGGTAACATGGTAGGAAGTCTGTTTAACTGCTAAGAGCACAAGATGAATCAAGAAAACAATAAGCACACTAGAGTGCTGGTTGAGTGGAACTGTTGAAGAAAAAAAAAAATTACTTTAGAGTAAGCTGACATTAGAACTTGAACTGCTTTTCTTTCTTCTCTTTTTGTGACTTCTGACTGGCTTCATTTGGTACTAAAACTGAGCTATGAAATTACTTCCTCATGTCTGCAAGAGACAGTCAACTGTCCCTGAACTGGAAAATAGTTTGCACATCACATTCTACACTGGCTGAACAGGAGCTGCAACAAAGAAATCCCAGTTATCATGAAAATGACCAAAAAATGGAAAATGCCTGAAAAAAAGGTACGCATAACCACACAATCCTTAAGGATCTGTGCTTTGCGATGATGATGAGCCAAAAAAAGAGACTGCTGTCATTAATTTCATAACCCTGACATAATTGTAGTAACTGTTGGCAGCTGTGTAACTCGGAGTTAGATTCTGGGTCTATGTTAAGCTAAAGCACACCTGTACATGTATAGGTAAACATACATATGCATGGTTTTCTTCTGCTCCACTTGTCACTCCTCATTCTTTTGACTATCCACTTCCCTGCAACGTAGTACTGTATTTGCAGAAACAGAAAGTCTACTGTATTACTCTTGCAGATAACAATGTCTGTACTCTGACAGAAATATTTAGAAAAGCAGCACAAGTGGCAGCCTTGTCATTTTGTCAGCATTGTCTTGGATTAATTCCTTTCTCCGCTGAATCAAAACTAGCCTTCCCTAAGATTCTTTCAAAACTAAAAATAAATCTAACTCTGAAAACCTCTCAAATAGTTATCAGGAAATTCCACATTAGAAATGGATATATCCTCTACATAGATGAAATCTGTATTTTGACCACAGCCTGGTGTATTGAAGCTTGTCAATCAGTTAAGCCACACTGAAATAGTCAAAATTCTGTCTTCAACCAATAATGCCTCAGAGCTGTTGTACATTAAGTGACATGGCTGTGATATAGCCTGTCAGGCAAAGAACTGCTTTGCCAATCGTATACTTGTACAACTTCCACACCATCCTTAACCATCACTGATATACCTGTCCATTACTTGATTTGGGAATTAACAGTTATCGTCATTGGTACAAACATGTGCATAGCTCAATGTATGTCCAGAAAGAAGTGCCACTTTGCTTGAGTCACTTTTTCAAACATCATTGGTCATCATTCAGCACTGCTCTCCACCAAACCAAATTTGAATTTTATTTTTTGGAAAACCTGTAGAAATTGACTGAAAAATAGAATCTCACCTACCTATTAACTGCCAAAAGATGGCTAGAGAATCAGCATGTCAAAGTCATCTTACACCATTAATAAATATGATGATTAACTTTCACTCTCTTGTATTTACCTGTCCCTATCTGAAAGTTTAGTCATTTAGAACATTGCAAATTCAAAATGTCAGCACAGTCTTACATCTTATACAACACCTGCATGAAGTCCATTCTTAATTAAAGAATATTAAGAGGCTGTAGAATAAATCCATAATGATTACATTAATAAATAACCTCAGAAGATACAAAAGGACAGAAGAAAAGTATCAGATTAAAAAATCTGGTTATCAGATTGAAGAACACGTCAGCCCTTAAAGAAACAGCTAGAGCCACTTCTTTCTAGATTATTAGCTGACAACAACCTGGTTTTCTCAAAATTCATGGTAATTCGGATTATGTCTCATACGCTGCTACCAAGTAAAGTACAGATCCCATTACTCCAGTGACCAAGGCTGCCTTTGCTCCCCACAACGGCCCTTGAGTGTAAAGTATGTAAGTTCACATCAATTGTGCTTTAGAAAATAGCCTGAAGAAAGTTATCATATGTATTCAGTTGAACTGAAAAGATAATCAGTTGAACATTTCTGGCAATGATAAAAATGTTTACTTGCTTGTCCCAGTAGGAATTTCGCTTGTTTCATCTATAATAGACCAGCTTCAGCAAGCCCAGAATTCATGTTTTGAAGGCAGCAACAGCACAAAACTTCATGTTTCCTTCATCAGATCTGTTCCATCACCTCTCTGCAACTCTGTTCAAGCCAGCTCAGCCACATTATCAGTTTTCAGCAGGCACAGAATATCTACTTAATGGCATCTATTACCTGTGCTGTTATGTTACAGCGACTCTTCTCTGTGCATCCTAACATTTCACCCAGTCTGTCCATCTGGCATTTTCTAAGCCCAGACTACTGTTTTTTTTGTTTGTCTTGCAAAAGATATAGCTTCAAAGTTAGTCCCAGAAGTTTGACATGAAAAGTTAAGACACATCCCTCCATCTTTCTTGTTTTCCTGGCGAGTTTGATCAGGCTTACAGTTTTAGGTGGATCTATAAGTGAGAAACATGCAATTTGAAAAATCTTGCATATAAAAAACACCAATGAGATAACTAAATAAATTGGCTGCACAAAATACTCAAGTTTTTAAGCTGCCTAAAAAAATTACACCTTTTATTTTTGCTGCTTGTTATTTATTCCTAAGATACCACGTTTTTAACTTTCATCCTCTTAACACATTATGAAACTAGGTATAAAAAAGCATCTCAAAATTAAAACATCATTAATGCACTGTAGAGATTGTCAGCATAAACAAGCATACATTCAAAGAGAAAAAAATATAACAGTTAGACTTCTTATAGTGATATGTAATTATTTCACTTTTAATACTATTTTTTATTCCTCCCCCTCCTCAGTTTTTTTTTTCTTCATAAATTATTGATATTTGCTCCAGGAACTTTAACATTGTACAAAAAGTTCATAGCAATCATAGCTTTAGGTACTGCTTGTCTTGTGTGGCTAAGGATTTTTCTCTAAGCATTCCAGATGTAAATGTAATGGAATATAGAAGTCTGAGTTCATACCACAGGTAAGATTCATCCTCTTGTTTATCTTGAGGTACCTCGTTTAAGCTACTCATTCAGGCTTCCTGCACAATCACTGGTAAAAGAAACGTCTTAGGATGAATTGAGAAACCTTCCCTTTCCTTTGGCACACAGCTGGCTCAGATGCCATGCTTAAGTTTCAATTGTTAAGGTTAGGCGAGATGAATCCCAGCTGAAAGAACCCATGGGCTCATGTATTTGCCTGCAAAGAGTATTTGTGCTTAACTAAGTCCGGACTATGCTTATAGCCAGAGAAAACTAACTTGCTGAGTTACACAGATGCCAACAGCAATTATAAAAAAATGTCTGTTTTACAAAATACAATTCATGCACATTTACCTAGTCACTTTTTCTTCTTTTAAAACATATAGAAAAAAAAGCTGTTCTCCAAGTAAACAAGAAGAAAAAGGTTTCAGTACTCTAACAGGTAAAATATCTCTTGAACAGGCAATTAACAGGTAGATTTGATTAAAACTTGCCAAAACAAGAGTGATGAAACTGAATCTGTAAAAGGAACTGTTTTGTGGAAGGCAGATTAAAAACTTCTACCTTGGTTAGCATTTAAGTAATTTCATAAACAGTTTATAAATATTGAAGAGAAACATACCTGGCATCAATTCAGCAGTAGGGAATATCTTCTCCTGCTTCATTTTACTTTCTTGTAATAACTCTTCTTTGGTTATTGGAAGATCTAGAACATCTCGAATAATCTGTGCTCCTTCTAGGGCTTTTTTACCCATGACCAAGGACTTCACATCCCAGGTATAGGTCTTTCCAAAACGCCCACAGATCTCTTCGAACACTACTGTATAGAGATGCTCGGTATCTGCCAAAAAAATAATTAAGAAAAAAAAAAGATTAAACCCCTGTACAACTAGCTGAGCAGCCAATCTTACAAGGAGTACCACATAAATGGTCACAGACTGAACTGCCAGAGGGCACATCGAAGTGGGCAAATTGCCCTCCCTTTATTTGCAGAGGGGAAGCCAAACTTGTAAGATCACCTCAGAGGTACCTGGGTTTTTTAAGTTGTCATTTCTGTGTTAAGAAAACATTACTGAGGGTCACAACAAAGAACCACATGGACCTGCTCCTTCATCACTTTTCTTTACTATACAGGTTAGCAAGCAGTGTCTTAATTAAAATACTCTTATTTACTCTTTTCATGAGAAAGAAAAGGAAGGAAGGAAATCTGGTACTTGAGGGAAGTAATTTCATATTCCATGTAAATTGAAAAAATAAAATAAAAAAAAAAGATTTAATTACTTAGAAGTGTCTTTGAACAGAAGCTTCAGAGTGCCTTCAAAGACACTACAGTCATTACTAAAGTGCTGCTAGCACCTCTGCATTTACATGTGATTACTCAAGCAGAACACACCCATTTGTATTTCCAGGGGGTTTCTGGCAAGAGTAAACTTCAGGCTGAATTTTACCAGTGAAATTATCAGCTTCTATGTCAAAGGTGGTTTTGTTTTTTTAAATACAAACAAACAATCCTTCCTGTCTTTGCCCCCAGACAAATCTTTGAAAAAGAAGGTCAATAACATTTAATTTAACGCCAAAACAGGGAAGAAAAATCCTTTCAACTCTTGACTTCATTTCAGCAAAGATCCTGAACAGTGGCTTTTCTACCAGTCTGTTTATCTTTTTAAGTAGTCTCCTTTGAAATGCCAGCTACTGATGTTAACCATGCTTTAATTCCCTTCTCATGTATGTCTTCGCCTTCTGTACCTCTAAAAGTATGTTTATTATTATCACTTTAGAAACAAAAGGCAAAAGCAAGGAAAGGAAGTAGTTGCTCTTACAAGACTTATTTAGAGAAATTAGGGACTTCACTTAGCAATGTGTCCTTTGCCATGTACAAATATTTTTTATAGGGATAATAAAATAGTGAAATTATTCATGCACACATTGCCTTACTTTCTGAATATATAAGAACTATGCAACAGTTTAAGCTTTAACAGACACTAGGAAGACAGACTGAAGAAAGAAGAGCAAAGACTACAATATCTGCAAAGATCTTCCCTGCAGTTTGACAAATGCTTGCTGCTTAACCACAGTAATCTGCTTGTCCTGGGATCAGCAGATGATTCTGATCCGAAATCAAATGAGAAACATAGAGGCTACTTCCCATCACCGCACCTACCGTCATGTGAACACACAGCAGTGCAGAAGACATGCTCTGCCGCCTGCCAGAGCCCTCTTCTCCAGGTTCCCCTTCAGTAACTAGAAGGGACGTTGAGCCAAGAGATCAGCTAAAGACACAACATCCTTGTCTGTGCAGGGCAGCAAATGGCTCACAAAAACCTCTTAGCTTAAAAATAAAAGAAAAAAACACCCGTACTATTCTTTGCAAATGCTTCTTAAACACTGACACTTATGGAAAAAAGGTACGAATAGTCCTGGAGACCCATAGAACACACAGGAAAGGTATCACAATGCCGTTTTGAATCTGCAGTACAATAAGAAATTAAATCTAATGCACACACATGAATACAATGTGTCAATGAAATAAAACAAGCAAAAGGAATTAGAAGCTTAATTCAAGTACCTAATTATAGGCACCTACTGATCATTTTAGACACCCTAGTACATCCAAGACATCCACAGAGAGCTGCCATTAAAAAAAGTAATCTGTGTGAGACTCACACCTTACTGCATGAGCAGCCAGATGCCCTACAGCATCCCAGGTGGTAATAAACACATACATTGCAGCAACTGAATCGAGCCCCAGCTGCTAGCTCCCACCAGGAATATAAGCTGAGAACACAGCAGGATGCACATGGCAGTGGCCTGTTCTAAGAGGGGGAAGGAAAAACAAGACTTCTTAACTCCTGCAATTTGCAGTAAACGTACAACCTTAGCTTCATTCTCTTCTGCCTTTCAAAATACTCTTCATCTTTCTAGCTCTCGTCCCTTGATATATCTTTTACATGGACATTATCAGCATGACGCACTGTCCGTCCACTCGCTACATTTCACTGGGAATGAGTGATATTCGTTCCCTAGCCACATATCATCTTCTAGTCATTTTTATAGCAGCCCTTCTTCAATATAAAAAGCACAGTCAACTCCACTGGTGCTGTTTACAGTGCGTAAAAGCCAGTCACAATAAATACAAATAATGTGACAAGAATGACAGAGTCACTGGATTACTCAATTTGTGATCTGGCACAAAAACATGCCGACGCATATTCAGAAAAACCTACAGGTCACTTGGCACCAGACCACAACGCCTAACTGGAGTGTATGATCTGCTCAAATCACTGCAGAGTCAGAATTAGAAGTGCAGATCTACCTAGGTTAGGGGTACAGCAAGCTTCAATGCAGTACCTAAACCTCAGCTTTATCAACCACTTCTTACACACGAAGACAGCTTAAGACAGAAGATTAGGACTTCATGAATTAATATGGAACTTGATTTTTTCAGAAGGTTATACACCTCCTGAATCTATTAAAATTAGGTTATTGTAATTCTAAAATAGTCTCTAGTGTATCAAGGATATGAAGTTAGTAGGCATGCAAGCTCACCTAACCCATAGCTCATCTTAACCACTGGTTCTGAGCTCCTCTTTGTTTGAATAACCCATCCCATCTTTGCATCAAGCCTCCCAGCTGCAACACACCTATGATTTTTCCTTCTGCTAGGAGTCTAAATTAAATTCTAATTGTGTACATTCATACACTCAAGTAAGTCAAAATCAGATCCTGGACACCTAAACTCTGCAAGATTTTTTATTTTGATAGGGGACAAAGAAGAGGTTAATGGGAAGAATTTTAATTCAAGCAGTAGGTTTCTTGTGTCTGTAACTGTGAGGCAAATTTCTGTTTTTATGTAGAAGAAAACCATCTTCAGTATTCAATTTAGCCAAATTAAAATACAATTAGTCATTTCTACTGAGATTTTTGCCCAAGATTGAAAAAAATCTCATTCAATTTTGTTACCATCTATACTGAATGAACACTCAGATGACTGATTTTGCTTTCCTATCAATGTTTCACAATATTCCTTTACTCTCTTTAGGGTATGCAACAGTGTAAGAAGCCATACAAATCAACGAAATGTTCATTTGGGGTACAAGAGATAAATATAACTATAAAACAGAACATAATTATAGAAGTGGAAATTTTTTCTTTGCTTTTTGCAACTCAATTGGTGGCATTTAGAACAGTATAAAGCCTTAACTTGCAAAAAAAAGATGCAATTGTTGAAATGGTGGGGGGAATCAACATTCCAAAGAGTATTAGATATTTCTTCTATTCATGGAGCTTTAATAACAGGAATGACATTTACATTTTCCCTCATTTCTGGATTTAAATGTAACAAAGGCCTTTGTGGTTTTATTCTCCCACTATATCAACTGAACAGTGTTAAAGAACACAGAATTTAAACACAGTAATGGCCAAGCCAAAATAGTGCCAGATTTCCCATCAGAAACACTAACTTTGTTGCGTCTTGAATATCACATGCAGAACTCAGTCAATGGTCCTCATTCTCACCTACTTCAACATTGGCAAAATCATGAACTCACATTCCCTTCCCTCTGTCTCCAGCACACAAACACAGCTGACCACCCCACTGACCAGTTGTTTTAAGTCTGTGAGACTCAGGAGTATAACAAATGCTGCAGCACTGCATGAAATCCGGGGAATAGAAGTCTCTCAGTAAGGCTCTGTGCTCAAAAGAGATCTGTCATCAACCTTGCCGGTCTACAAGCCCTCTCCCCACAGGCAGTACATGCTCTTAGATTGTTCGATTACACAAGTGAACCAATTCTTAAAATACCCATGTAACCGAGGATATCATTATCAAACACTGGTACATTCACCACATTTCCAAATGATATGTGGACTATGACAGAAAACAGGAAACACCATTGTCAAGATAAAACCCACATAACTATACACAAACTTGCAAGATCCTGCTGGTGGTTTTGGTAAGAAAGAAAATAAAAGAAAACAGTGGGAAAACAATGGCCTCAACAGCAAACTTAGAATGGAACAAGGAAAGTTCTCTCAACCTGAAGAATAATTCAAAATATGATTTTATGATATCACCATCCGCAGCTCATAAGTTACAGCTCCATCTCAAAAAAAAATTAAGAAATAATACATTATGAAAAACTATTGAAACATAAAAATACAACAGCATTATAAAAAAAGGTCACTGAGAGAACCATAGAATAACACTGAATAAAGCATGGTGCATAATTCATATCCCATTCTTTTTCTGTCGTTAATATTTCTTTCAGTGGAAATCTGAGACTTTCCCCATTAAGATATCAGCAGTCAAACAAGACAGACAAAACCAGTATAAGCAATGCAAAAGATAGGAACTATACAACTGTCATGGGAATCACAGAATCACAGAATTTTCAGAGTTGGAAGGGACCTCCAAAGGTCATCTAGTCCAACGCCCCTGCTAAAGCAGGATTGCCTAGAGCACACTACTCAGGACTGCATCCAGGAGGGTCTTCAAAGTCTCCAGAGAAGGGGACTCCACAACCTCCCTGGGCACCTTGTGCCAGTGCTCTGTCACCCTAACTGTAAAGAAGTTTTTCTGTGCGTTGGAACAGAACTTCCTATGTTCCAACTTGTGCCCATTGACCCTCGTCCTGTCACTGGGAACCACCGAGAAGAGTCTGGCTCCATCCTCCTTCAACCCACCCTTTAGATATTTGTAAGTAATAATAAGGTCTCCCCTCAGCCTTCTCTTCTCCAGGCTAAAGAGTCCCAGCTCTCTCAGCCTTTCCTCATAAGGGCGATGCTCCAATCCCTCAATCATCTTGGTTGCCCTTCGCTGGACTCGCTTCAGCAGTTCTCTGTCCCTCTTGAACTGGGGAGCCCAAAACTGGACACCGTATTCCAGTTGTGGCCTCACCAGTGCCGAGTAGAGGGGGAGAATGACCTCCCTCAACCTACTGGTCATACTCTTCCCTATGCA